AAGCACGTGGTATCAACGCAGAGTACTCTATCGCGCAGCTCTCATACTTGACCACGCACCTAACGGAAAGAAAACCCACGCGTCAAAAAACGTCAAAGTTTTTCTTTTAAAAACTTTTTTGAGAAATTATAACTCCCTTCAATTTTAGTTCCTATGGGCTGCTAATCAGCTTATTTCGCAGACGCCATAGCTGATAGTACACGCCTAATACATTAGGTCTATGCAAAGGTTTTGTCTGTTTTTCAAAATGACCCGCAGATCCCGTACAGCAGAGAAACATTCCAAAAACAAAAAACACGAAACATATATTCCAAGTCATTTCCGATGCAGATATTCCTCTATTCAGCTGCTATATCGCAAAATGTGATTCGATGGAACGAGTGCTGGAAATTGCTGGAATTTACAACCCTTCGTTTTCACGTTTTGACAACCAAAGGCTATTTTTTCCTTCTTTTCGGCTACTCTTTTGAGATTTTCAAAAACAGTTTTTCAAAAGTCTGAATTCTGGAAAAATCACATGATCTGTTGTTGCACCAAACACTGCAAAAAACCTCTATATCAATGAAGTTTTTAAACCACGATTATGACTTCTGATGATCTTACAATTTTACAATGTAAATGACCTATTTTCGCTTCAAAATATGAAGATTCTGAAACTTAAGGTTTGTCAGTGCGAACCCGTAAAATAGTGAAATACTACGATTTTCCGCACAATAACGCATGTCTCGCTAAGAAAAGACAAATGTTAGAAAGAGGAGAAAAAAGTGCATAGAATGATACCTGAACTGTTCGCCATTTCATGTCCTATGAGATGAGAATAGGCGGAATGTGAAATTTGGTCACTTAAAGACAAACCCTAGAGCTACAAAAAATTGCTGCAGTTGGCAAAAGGTTTGCTCTATCTGTTAATTATTGAGCTCGTCCAAGAGTTCCGCATAAAATTCTTTTGAATTACCAAAATTTGACCATGGTGAAAACGAAGGGAATCCAGCGATTATCTCAGCACTCTTCCAACGATCACTTGGAATATAGCAGCTGGAAGGAGGTAAAAATTCTGCATCGGATACAGCTCAAAGCGTTTATCTTCACTGTATGGTATCTGCGATATGGCTTAAAAAACTGACAATTTTTTGCACCGACCTAACAGAAAAGACTTCAACGAAGAATTTCTGCGAAAAGAAAAGATGAAAATAAATTTTTTACTCTTCTGAGCCTATGTGGTAGTCCAGAAAGTTCCAAACTAAGGAAATATGGATTTTTTATGCAATCAATAAGTTTTTCTGATAGAACTGTAGGCGCAGAATCTGTATCGAAAAAAAAACTTCGACGGAAAAAAGTTATTCAGAAAACTAGCCTAGGAAAAGGAACGTTTTTTGCATCAACCTAATATAAGAATAACTTGTACTTAGATGACGGAACTTGTATGGAAAAGTAAGCACTTTGACGAGTACAAGGCGTTGTCACCTTCTACTGCGAAAGAGATAACAATGGGCGCCATTAAGTTCATGGCTTTACCTGATGATGTCAAGGAGGATTTTCGTAAAGCGTTTCCTGTTGCCGCAGCATTTCTCATTTCAAGTAAACAAAATCTCCTATCTATTTTCATTCTTGAAATAGAATTTTTCAGTCGAGAAGATGATGAAACGTCGCAAGAACACTAGTACTCCTGTCAGAAACTCCTCCTAGCTTTCAAGAAACCTGGTGCGGAACGCACCAAATCTGATCATATGCAAAATAATCAATAAATGATAGTGTTATTATTATAGTATAAACCAACCGTGGTATGTGAACCGCCAAAGCAATACCATGTTCACACAGGAGAAGGCAGTCCGCATGAGGCTGCTGTGGCTGTGTAGATTACTCTCTTATGATTGCGAATTGTACTCAGGACATGTCCTGAGTTGACTTTTTGTTTGTACGGTATCATCGTTGAAAGCTTCAAGTCAATTTCCATGTTTCGGTGAAGGATTGCTGCAAATATTTACTTCTACATAAATGCAAAAATTACCAAAATGAACGATAAATACGCGATGTCCCAAAAGTATGTATACACTGTTTGATGGTTGATGTCTCTCTTCCCAAGAAGTCTTCTGCCTGCTTTCGAACCGTTTTGTAAAGCTGGGTTCAACTTAGATTTACAGTATAGGACAAACCACCGATCGCTCTTTATTACTGTGGGATTACGGTAGGAATACTCGGCTTAGAGCGTCATTTTGGATTAGTCGCGTTTCAAAAAATTTTCCTAAACTTCTGAAAAGTGGCATGAGGCAAACATGCGTGCCAATTTCATTACTCAACGTTTTGGGAGTTCGTAAAGATTCCCAGATGGTAATCTCAGTTTTACAAAGCACTGTAAAGACAGTTGAAGACAGCTGTTGCGGTTTATCTGGCATAGGTCATGAAGGAAGCATTGCGGAGAAATACGAAGTTCATATTTGGTTCAGCAACTTTAATTAGCCTAATTAGTGTAAGGGTTTTCAGTTTGTTTAATTCGCTTTCTAAGGCGAAATAGGGCCCACAATGGCTCAAGTACCTTCCTGGATTTCCTATCGTAGTCCTACAGTATTGAAGAGCAGTCGGTAATCCGCTGTATACTGTAATCTAAGCTGATCTTCGCTCTACAAAATGGTACCTAAAGTTCGCCGAAGGGCATCAAGGCAAGACTTTTGAAACACCCTGCATATTATCTGTGATTAACATACTCAAATACTGCCCTTATATGAAGTCTGGAGACTCTCAAGCAAAAACCGCGGATATTAAATAACGCCGTCAGTAGATATCACAGATGTTCCATGACAGCAGTTTCACTTGCTCACTCCCTCCCCCCCCCCCCTTTTCCCCGACCAGAGAGTGCCATTGTTAGATACTGCAAAACCATTGGAAAAACGATAATTCAAGTTAACACAGCCATTCACAGCTATTCATGGACGGCATGTCCATATATTCTCTTTGGCAACTTCAAACGTTTTCAAGCAAAATCACATCCGCATGCATGGCAGGTACCAACACGCTTGCATGCAAAGCCTTGGGTACTGTTTCAACACGGTGGATTCGCTGACCAATGAAAACATTTTCGAATTAATGGAGCTTTTCTGCTTTTTTGAGAAGAAAGCGCACCTAATTTCACCTTAAGCATTTGAGGCTTAACCTATTGACGGCGACGCCTAATTTTGTTTGAAGACATCGTCTACCCAAATTCTGAATTCCATGTTTTCGTCGCTTCCAGGCCTTCTGTCCGGATTTCGAATATGTAGCCAAGAATTCGCGAAATTTCCCAAACCCCCGTTTTGGAGAACGATGCAACGCAAGTCGCGGGGCTGCGGCGCTGATATACACCGGCGCACCAGTGGCGTACCGAGGGGAGGGGAGCGGGGGGGGGCGCCCCTCCCCCCCCGAGAATGGGTCTCGAAATTTTTGAAAGTTACTTACATGGGTTATAAAAATGTGCAAGTGACTTGTTTATACTTGTAAATAATTAAAATAATTTTTAGAAATTTTTAAAAATTCAAATTAGCCTTGTAAAAAAATTTTCATTTAAAAAAATGACCTCCAAAATCTGGAAAAAGGGGGCGTGACTGACGCTACGCCCCCTTTTTCCAGATTTTGGAGGTCCGGGACCCGCAAAAATATCAAGAAGCACTCCAAGAAATTTTCGGAGTGCGTGGCTAACGCCACGCACCTTCATTCGAAAAGTTTTTTTGTCCCCCCCCCCCCCCCCCCCGAGCGGAAATCCTGGGTACGCCACTGCGGCGCACCATATGCATATCCGCAAAGTGGGCGGGGTGACCAGCTGGGCGGAGTGGCCAGCACCAGATAACGTCCCTTCCGGAGTAGTTTTTCCGCTCAAGCAATCTTTTACAGCGCAACTTGGGGGTTTACCTAGTTTGGGGCCCACGCTAGTATGACATCATAATCTCGTCAACTCCCGCTTTGGGTGGACGGTGCCTTTAAAGGCAGTGTCCGGGCAAAAACTCGATTTTGAGATTTTGTGCTTATTCGGGCCTATTCGCTACGCTGAATCCGAAAATGCACATTTTAGGGCGCGAAAATGGCGAAAAACAGCTCTAACACAGGAGGGAAATGAGCAGGTGGGCGGGGTCCTCCCCACTGCGAATTCACGTTCCCGGCTTCCGGAGCGACCCGCTTCCGGTTTCAAGTCAATCATTCGCACCTGGCCGGTAGCGATGTTAGAACGGCTAGCGGAATCGAGAAAATCGCTCCGGGAGCTGAGAGCGTGAAATCGCACTGGGGAAAGCCCCGCCCACCTGCTGATTTCCCTCCTATATTAAAGCCCTTTTTCGCTGTTTTCGCGCTTTCCAATGTGGATTTTCGGATTCAGCATGGCGAATAGGCCCGTATAAGCACAAAATCTCAAAATCGAGTTTTTGCCCCCGGACACTGCCTTTAAAGGCAGCGGCTCGGCAGTTTTTCGACTTTGGGGTTATGGCAGATTTGGGGCTATTCCGGCCCCCTGAATCACGACATGAACTCCCCTTGGCGCGAAAATGGGGAAGACCCCGTCTTTTGAACCCCCCCCCCCTTGAAACGGGCGCGGACGAGTGAGTCGTTTTTCTCTGCCGTCAGAGACGTAGAGTAAGGAGGTAGAGAGCGCTAGAACAATTCCGCCCTACGAAGCTACGAGTGACGGCGCGTTTTCTAGCGGCGAACATACTCGTCCGCACAGGTGTTAGGGGAGCGAAAGGAGGAAGGGGAGCTGAGCTTGGCTCGCCCCCTGGTTTACAGAATCCATATTTGGGACAACGCGACATTGCAAGATTCTTTCGAGATTTGAGTATTTTACGGTTATGAGAACTTAGGGTTGTTTTGCAAACAACTGTAAACATTTTTCTAAACGACGGCTTCTACAGGTTCTAATTGTTAGCAACTGCGACTCCATAAGTTTTGAAGGACAATAGTTCTATTAGGTAGTGAAAGAAATAGATCGATTTGAGCAGTGACCGCCGAGAACGAGAATTTTAAATAATCAAGTGATTCTAAGTTACTTAGTAACAGCTGACGTTTAGACTCCTATAATCTGGAATCTGAAGGTGTGCAATGTTGCGACTTCATAGGTTTTGTAGAGCAAGTACTGCACTATAAGATTTTTTGCTGTAACGATCCATTGAAACGTCGCCGAGATTCAGGCTCTTAGAGAAACAGGTAAAAAAACCGCCTTTTAAACTTCAACAGCTTATAACTTCTTCAGAATTGCATGAATCATGTTGCGACTTCATAGGTTGGATTCTCCTCTTCAAGAGCTTTCAGATGATCATCATACTGTATATAAAGCGCAAGCACCTCCATCTGACGTCATCGCTCGCGCCAGAGGTGTAAACGGGTGGGGGAACGAAAGCCGCCAGGTCCAGCCGCCTTTCGCGGCCAGCTGGTCCTTTCGCAGCGTTGTTACATGTCGTTCCAGGACCAGCAGTCCGCGGAGGCGGCTGGACCTGGCGGCTTTCGTTCCCCCACCCGGTGTAAACATGTCTATCGTTTTGTGCCGGTGCGAGCGCACCGAGCTGATGACTTACAAGCAGTGCCTGTCTTAGACGATGTTGATCAAATGGCAAACCCCAAAAAGCGATCACAATGGTAGTGATGCCTGTCATAGACCATTGATCAAATGGTAAAACCCAAAAAGCGATCACAATGGTAGTGATGCCTGTCATAGACCATTAATCAAATGGCATAACCCACAAAGCGAATCACTATAACGACACTCATATGCCAGCGGCTGTACCGATTAAGATTCCCACTGGCTAATAGCTTCATTTCAAAAATATTAAACGGTTGGTCAAATAGTTTGCACATTGTCTCACAACCATTACATGTAATTATCGGTACTGCGGCTTCGCTGAAAAAAATACTATCATTGAGCTCAAAAGTTCCACACAAGCATGCTTCTATGAGTATTGTCCCGCAACATTTGCCTTGTCTACATCTTGATTTTTGCAAACGAAACAATATACATGGGTGTGTGAATGCTACCATTGCTATCCTATTTTTCTTAGCATCTACAAAGTGATAAAATTTTTGGGAGATTAATTAACAGATTTGCATCGTTATTCGAAGGGCTTCATAGATAAGGAAATTATATCTCTGAAGGGAACTCTTCTTTAGAGCGTCGCCCTGAGCCATTAGAACGGACAACTCAGTTCGCATTCATTCGAAATGAAGAGCATCGTACTATTAGCGAAATGAACGGATGAAGAAACCCTCTACAAACCCAGTTGTTTCCTCCTACATACAATACTGCTCTCAGAACGTGCAAAATTTCCGTGAATGTCGCGGAAACCCCGGAAATCCGCGAAGGACCGCGAAATTTTCGGAATATCGCCATAACTTCCTTCGGAATGCATAAATTCTGGATCTGAAACAAGGGTTATACTCAGCTCATTAAGGCGAATCTTTTGGTACCTTGCCTTACCGTAATTCTCGGGGCACGATTGGTGCACGGTCTGAGATGAATTTTGCATTTTGGGAGAGGGGAAGTGAACACAATATTCGTGTCCTGTACTCGAACCCAACCCTTCTAGTAATAAATAGGTGCTTGAAGCTACTAAACAAACAGAAGAGGGGAAAAGCAACAACGACGGCATCATCACGGCGTGTTCGCATATTTTAGAACTAACCACACCCAATACCACTGATTACTCCCCCCCCCCCCTCCCTAGAATTTCAGAAAAATCGCAAAAGGATTCACTTGCTGCCGTACACCCACTGTCGTGATTCTCACGATATGAGGAAGGCGGAGCCG